TGGCCTATTCCATGGCTTCTAGAGAAAAATAATGACTGGTGTCACGGGGTATGACTATAAAGATCTTGTAGAGGAGAAACAGGCGCATCTTTTGCGCAAGGTATCGAAGGGCGCTATGTTCAAAAATCTGAAACTAGAGCTCAAAAATAAAAAAAAAAATTGTTAAAAACAGGGGGTTGGCCTATTCCATGGCTTCTAGAGAAAAATAATGAGGGGTGTCAGGGGATATGACTATAAAGGTCTTGTAGAGGAGAAACAGGCGCATCTTTTGCGCAAGGTATCGAAGGGCGCTATGTTCAAAAATCTTAAACTAGAGCTCAAAATTTAAAAAAAAAATGTAAAAAAACAGGGGGGATGGCCTATTCCATGGCTTCTAGAGAAAAATAATGAGGGGTGTCACGGTTTATAACTATATAGGTCTTGTAGAGGAGAAACAGGCGCATCTTTTGCGCAAGTATCGAAGGGCGCTATGTTCGAAAATCTGAAACTAGAGCTCAAAATTAAAAAAAAAAATTGTTAAAAACAGGGGGGTTGGCCTATTCCATGGCTTCTAGAGAAAAATAATGAGGGGTGTCATAGGACATGACTATATATATCTTGAAGACCAGAAACAGGCGCATCCTTTGCGCAAGGTATCGAAGGGCGCTATGTTCAAAAATCTGAAACTAAAGCTAAAAATTAAAAAAAAAAATGTTAAAAACAAGGGGATTGGCCTATTCCATGGCTTCTAGAGAAAAATAATGAGGGGTGTCACGGGACATGACTATATAGGTCTTGTAGAGGAGAAACAGGCGCATCTTTTGCGCAAGGTATCGAAGGGCGCTATGTTCAAAAATCTGAAACTAGAGCTCAAAATTTAAAAAAAAATGTTAAAAACAGGAGGGTTGGCCTATTCCATGGCTTCTAGAGGAAAATATGGAGGGGTGTCACGGGATATGACTATAAAGGTCTTGTAGAGGAGAAACAGGCGCATCTTTTGCGCAAGGTATCGAAGGGCGCTATGTTCAAAAATCTGAAACTAGAGCTCAAAATTTAAAAAAAAAATGTTAAAAACAGGGGGTGTGTCTATTCCATGGCTTCTAAAGAAAAATAATGAGGGGTGTCACGGGGTATGACTATATAGGTCTTGTAGAGGAGAAACAGGCGCATCTTTTGCGCAAGGTATCGAAGGGCGCTATGTTCAAAAATCTGAAACTAGAGCTCAAAATTAAAAAAAAAAAATGTTAAAAACAGGGGGGTTGGCCTATTCCATGGCTTCTAGAGAAAAATAATGAAGGGTGTCACGGGACATGACTATATAGGTCTTGTAGAGGAGAAACAGGCACATCCTTTGCGCAAGGTATCGAAGGGCGCTATGTTCAAAAATCTGAAACTAGAGCTCAAAATTTAAAAAAAAATGTTAAAAACAGGGGGTAGGCCTATTCCATGGCTTCTAGAGAAAAATAATGAAGGGTTTCACGGGGTACGACTATATAGGTCTTGTAGAGGAGAAACAGGCGCATCCTTTGCGCAAGGTATCGAAGTGCGCTATGTTAAAAAATCTGAAACTAGAGCTCAAAATTTAAAAAAAAAAATGTTAAAAACAGGGGGTAGGGTGGGGGGAGGGGGGGGTCTATTCCATGGCTTCTAGAGAAAAAAAATGAGGGGTGTCACGGGGTATGACTATTTAGGTCTTGTAGAGGAGAAATAGGCGCATCTTTTGCGCAAGGTATCGAAGGGCGCTATGTTCAAAAATCTGAAACTAGAGCTCAAAATAAAAAATGTTAAAAACAGGGGGGTTGGCCTATTCCATGGCTTCTAGAAAAAAATAATGAGGGGTGTCACGGGATATGACTATAAAGGTCTTGTAGAGGAGAAACAGGCGCATCTTTTGCGCAAGGTATCGAAGGGCGCTATGTTCAAAAATCTGAAACTAGAGCTCAAAATTAAAAACAAAATTGTTAAAAACAGGGAGGTTGGCCTATTCCATGGCTTCTAGAGAAAAATAATGAGGGGTGTCACGGGATATGATTATGAAGGTCTTGTAGAGGAGTAACAGGCGCATCTTTTGCGCAAGGTATCGAAGGGCGCTATGTTCAAAAATCTGAAACTAGAGCTCAAAATTTAAAAACAAAATGTTAAAAACAGGGGGGTTGGCCTATTCCATGGCTTCTAGAGAAAAATAATGAAGGGTGTCACGGGACATGACTATATAGGTCTTGTAGAGGAGAAACAGGCGCATCCTTTGTGCAAGGTATCGAAGGGCGCTATGTTCAAAAATCTGAAACTAGAGCTCAAAATTTAAAAAAAAATGTTAAAAACAGGGGGTTTGCCTATTCCATGGCTTCTAGAGAAAAATAATGAAGGGTTTCACGGGGTACAACTATATAGGTCTTGTAGAGGAGAAACAGGCGCATCCTTTGCGCAAGGTATCGAAGTGCGCTATGTTAAAAAATCTGAAACTAAAGCTCAAAATTTAAAAAAAAAAATGTTAAAAACAGGGGGTGGGGGGGTGGGGGAGGGGTCTATTCCATGGCTTCTAGAGAAAAAAAATGAGGGGTGTCACGGGGTATGACTATATAGGTCTTGTAGAGGAGAAACAGGCGCATCTTTTGCGCAAGGTATCGAAGGGCGCTATGTTCAAAAATCTGGAACTAGAGCTCAAAATAAAAAAAAAATTGTTAAAAACAGGGGGGTTGGCCTATTCCATGGCTTCTAGAGAAAAATAATGAGGGGTGTCACGGGATATGACTATATAGGTCTTGAAGAGGAGAAACAGGCGCATTTTTTGCGCAAGGTATTGAAGGGCGCTATGTTCAAAAATCTGAAACTAGAGCTCAAAATTAAAAAAAAAAAATGTTAAAAACAGGGGGGTTGACCTATTCCAGGGCTTCTAGTTAAAAATAATGAGGGGTGTCACGGAGTATGACTATATAGGTCTTGAAGAGGAGAAACAGGCGCATCTTTTGCACAAGGTATCGAAGGGCGCTATGTTCAAAAATCTGAAACTAGAGCTCAAAATTAAAAAAACAAAATGTTAAAAACAGGGGGTTGGCCTATTCCATGGCTTCTAGAGAAAAATAATGAGGGGTGTCACGGGACATGACATATAGGTCTTGTAGAGGAGAAACAGGCGCATCTTTTGCGCAAGGTATCGAAGGGCGCTATGTTCAAAAATCTGAAACGAGAGCTCAAAATTAAAAAAAAAAATGTTAAAAACAGGGGGGTTGGCCTATTCCATGGCTTCTAGAGAAAAATAATGAGGGGTGTCACAGGGTATAACTATATAGGTCTTGTAGAGGAGAAACAGGCGCATCTTTTGCGCAAGGTATCGAAGGGCGCTATGTTCAAAAATCTGAAACTAGAGCTCAATATTAAAAAAAAAATTGTTAAAAACAGGGGGGTTGGCCTATTCCATGGCTTCTAGAGAAAAATAATGAGGGGTGTCAAGGGATATGACTATGAATGTCTTGTAGAGGAGAAACAGGCGCATCTTTTGCGCAAGGTATCGAAGGGCGCTATGTTCAAAAATCTGAAACTAGAGCTCAAAATTTAAAAAAAAAATGTTAAAAACAGGGGGTGTGTCTATTCCATGGCTTCTAGAGAAAAATAATGAGGGGTGTCACGGGGTATGACTATATAGGTCTTGTAGAGGAGAAACAAGCGCATCTTTTGCGCAAGGTATCGAAGGGCGCTATGTTCAAAAATCTGAAACTAGAGCTCAAAATTAAAAAAAAAATGTTAAAAGCAGGGGGGTTGGCCTATTCCATGGCTTCTTGAGAAAAATAATGAGGGGTCACAGGACATGACTATATAGGTCTTGTAGAGGAGAAACAGGCGCATCTTTTGCGCAAGGTATCGAAGGGCGCTATGTTCAAAAATCTGAAACTAGAGCTCAAAATTAAAAAAAAAAATTGTTAAAAACAGGGGGGTTGGCCTATTCCATGGCTTCTAGAGAAAAATAATGAGGGGTGTCACGGGATATGACTATATAGGTCTTAAAGAGGAGAAACAGGCGCATCCTTTGCGCAAGGTATCGAAGGGCGCTATGTTCAAAAATCTAAAACTAGAGCTCAAAATTAAAAAAAAAAAATGTTAAAAACAGGGGGGTTGGCCTATTCCATGGCTTCTAGAGAAAAATAATGAGGGGTGTCACTGGATATAACTATATAGATCTAGTAGAGGAGAAACAGGCGCATCTTTTGCGCAAGGTATCGAAGGGCGCTATGTTAAAAAATCTAAAACTAGAGCTCAAAATTAAAAAAAATATTGTTAAAAACAGGGGGTTGGCCTATTCCATGGCTTCTAGAGAAAAATAATGAGGGGTGTCACGGGATATGACTATCAAGGTCTTGTAGAGGAGAAACAGGCGCATCCTTTGCGCAAGGTATCGAAGGGCGCTATGTTCAAAAATCTAAAACTAGAGCTCAAAATTAAAAAAAAAAATGTTAAAAACAGGGGGGTTGGCCTATTCCATGGCTTCTAGAGAAAAATAATGAGGGGTCACAGGACATGACTATATAGGTCTTGTAGAGGAGAAACAGGCGCATCTTTTGCGCAAGGTATCGAAGGGCGCTATGTTCAAAAATCTAAAACTAGAGCTCAAAATTAAAAAAAAAATGTTAAAAACAGGGGGTTGGCCTATTCCATGTCTTCTAGAGAAAAATAATGAGAGGTGTCACGGGGTATGACTATATAGGTCTTGTAGAGAAGAAGCAGGCGCATCTTTTGCGCAAGGTATCGAAGGGCGCTATGTTCAAAAATCTGAAACTAGAGCTCAAAATTAAAAAAAAAATTGTTAAAAAGAGGGGGGTTGGCCTATTCCATGGCTTCTAGAGAAAAATAATGAGGGGTGTCACGGGATATGACTATATAGGTCTTAAAGAGGAGAAACAGGCGCATCTTTTGCGCAAGGTATTGAAGGGCTCTATGTTCAAAAATTTAAAACTAGAGCTCAAAATTAAAAAACAAAAATGTTAAAAACAGGGGGTCTGTCTATTCCATGGCTTCTAGAGAAAATAATGAGGGGTGTCACAGGGTATGACTATATAGGTCTTGTACAGGAGAAACAGGCGCATCTTTTGCGCAAGGTATCGAAGGGCGCTATGTTCAAAAATCTGAAACTAGAGCTCAAAATTAAAAAAAAAAAATGTTAAAAACAGGGGGGTTGGCCTATTCCATGGCTTCTAGAGAAAAATAATGAGGGGTGTCACAGGACATGACTATATAAGTCTTGTAGAGGAGAAACATGCGCATCTTTTGCGCAAGGTATCGAAGGGCGCTATGTTCAAAAATCTGAAACTAGAGCTCAAAATTAAAAAAAAAATGTTAAAAACAGGGGGTTGGCGTATTCCATGGCTTCTAGAGAAAAATAATGAGGGGTGTCACGGGGTATGACTATATAGGTCTTGAAGAGGAGAAACAGGCGCATCTTTTGCGCAAGATATCGAAGGGCGCTATGTTCAAAAATCTGAAACTAGAGCTCAAAATTTGAAAAAAAGTGGTTGAAAACAGGGGAGTTGGCCTATTTCATGGCTTCTAGAGAAAAATAATGAGGGGTGTCACGGGGTATGACTATATAGGTCTTAAAGAGGAGAAACAGGCGCATCTTTTGCGCAAGGTATCGAAGGGCGCTTTGTTCAAAAATCTGAAACTAGAGCTCAAAATTTAAAAAAAATGTTAAAAACAGGGGGTTGGCCTATTCCATGGCTTCTAGAGAAAAATAATGAGGGGTGTCCCGGGGTATGACTATATAGGTCTTGTAGAGGAGAAACAGGCGCATCTTTTGCGCAAGGTATCGAAGGGCGCTATGTTCAAAAATCTGGAACTAGAGCTCAAAATAAAAAAAAAATTGTTAAAAACAGGGGGGTTGGCCTATTCCATGGCTTCTAGAGAAAAATAATGAGGGGTGTCACGGGATATGACTATATAGGTCTTGAAGAGGAGAAACAGGCGCATTTTTTGCGCAAGGTATTGAAGGGCGCTATGTTCAAAAATCTGAAACTAGAGCTCAAAATTTAAAAAAAAAAATGTTAAAAACAGGGGGGTTGACCTATTCCAGGGCTTCTAGTTAAATATAATGAGGGGTGTCACGGAGTATGACTATATAGGTCTTGAAGAGGAGAAACAGGCGCATCTTTTGCACAAGGTATCGAAGGGCGCTATGTTCAAAAATCTGAAACTAGAGCTCAAAATTTAAAAACAAAATGTTAAAAACAGGGGGGTTGGCCTATTCCATGGCTTCTAGAGAAAAATAATGAAGGGTGTCACGGGACATGACTATATAGGTCTTGTAGAGGAGAAACAGGCGCATCCTTTGCGCAAGGTATCGAAGGGCGCTATGTTCAAAAATCTGAAACTAGAGCTCAAAATTTAAAAAAAAATGTTAAAAACAGGGGGTTTGCCTATTCCATGGCTTCTAGAGAAAAATAATGAAGGGTTTCACGGGGTACGACTATATAGGTCTTGTAGAGGAGAAACAGGCGCATCCTTTGCGCAAGGTACCGAAGTGCGCTATGTTAAAAAATCTGAAACTAAAGCTCAAAATTTAAAAAAAAAAATGTTAAAAACAGGGGTTGGGGGGGGTGGGGGAGGGGTCTATTCCATGGCTTCTAGAGAAAAAAATGAGGGGTGTCACGGGGTATGACTATATAGGTCTTGTAGAGGAGAAACAGGCGCATCTTTTGCGCAAGGTATCGAAGGGCGCTATGTTCAAAAATCTGAAACTAGAGCTCAAAATAAAAAAAAAATTGTTAAAAACAGGGGGGTTGGCCTATTCCATGGCTTCTAGAGAAAAATAATGAGGGGTGTCACGGGATATGACTATATAGGTCTTGAAGAGGAGAAACAGGCGCATTTTTTGCGCAAGGTATTGAAGGGCGCTATGTTCAAAAATCTGAAACTAGAGCTCAAAATTTAAAAAAAAAATGTTAAAAACAGGGGGGTTGGCCTATTCCATGGCTTCTAGTTAAAAATAATGAGGGGTGTCACGGAGTATGACTATATAGGTCTTGAAGAGGAGAAACAGGCGCATCTTTTGCACAAGGTATCGAAGGGCGCTATGTTCAAAAATCTGAAACTAGAGCTCAAAATTAAAAAAACAAAATGTTAAAAACAGGGGGTTGGCCTATTCCATGGCTTCTAGAGAAAAATAATGAGGAGTGTCACGGGACATGACATATAGGTCTTGTAGAGGAGAAACAGGCGCATCTTTTGCGCAAGGTATCGAAGGGCGCTATGTTCAAAAATCTGAAACGAGAGCTCAAAATTTAAAAAAAAAATGTTAAAAACAGGGGGGTTGGCCTATTCCATGGCTTCTAGAGAAAAATAATGAGGGGTGTCACAGGATATAACTATATAGGTCTTGTAGAGGAGAAACAGGCGCATCTTTTGCGCAAGGTATCGAAGGGCGCTATGTTCAAAAATCTGAAACTAGAGCTCAATATTAAAAAAAAAATTGTTAAAAACAGGGGGGTTGGCCTATTCCATGGCTTCTAGAGAAAAATAATGAGGGGTGTCACGGGATATGACTATATAGGTCTTAAAGAGGAGAAACAGGCGCATCTTTTGCGCAAGGTATTGAAGGGCTCTATGTTCAAAATTTAAAACTAGAGCTCAAAATTAAAAAACAAAAATGTTAAAAACAGGGGGTCTGTCTATTCCATGGCTTCTAGAGAAAATAATGAGGGGTGTCACAGGGTATGACTATATAGGTCTTGTACAGGAGAAACAGGCGCATCTTTTGCGCAAGGTATCGAAGGGCGCTATGTTCAAAAATCTGAAACTAGAGCTCAAAATTAAAAAAAAAAAATGTTAAAAACAGGGGGGTTGGCCTATTCCATGGCTTCTAGAGAAAAATAATGAGGGGTGTCACAGGACATGACTATATAAGTCTTGTAGAGGAGAAACATGCGCATCTTTTGCGCAAGGTATCGAAGGGCGCTATGTTCAAAAATCTGAAACTAGAGCTCAAAATTAAAAAAAAAATGTTAAAAACAGGGGGTTGGCGTATTCCATGGCTTCTAGAGAAAAATAATGAGGGGTGTCACGGGGTATGACTATATAGGTCTTGAAGAGGAGAAACAGGCGCATCTTTTGCGCAAGATATCGAAGGGCGCTATGTTCAAAAATCTGAAACTAGAGCTCAAAATTTGAAAAAAAGTGGTTGAAAACAGGGGAGTTGGCCTATTTCATGGCTTCTAGAGAAAAATAATGAGGGGTGTCACGGGGTATGACTATATAGGTCTTAAAGAGGAGAAACAGGCGCATCTTTTGCGCAAGGTATCGAAGGGCGCTTTGTTCAAAAATCTGAAACTAGAGCTCAAAATTTAAAAAAAAATGTTAAAAACAGGGGGTTGGCCTATTCCATGGCTTCTAGAGAAAAATAATGAGGGGTGTCCCGGGGTATGACTATATAGGTCTTGTAGAGGAGAAAGAGGCGCATCTTTTGCGCAAGGTATCGAAGGACGCTATGTTAAAAAATCTGAAACTAGAGCTCAAAAATCTGAAACTAGAGCTCAAAATTTAAAAAAAAATGTTAAAAACAGGGGGTTGGCCTATTCCATGGCATCTAGAGAAAAATAATGAGGGGTGTCACGGGGTATGACTATATAGGTCTTGAAATCTGAAACTAGAACTCAAAAATCTGAAACTAGAGCTCAAAATTAAAAAAAAAATGTTAAAAACAGGGGGTTGGCCTATTCCATGGCTTCTAGAGAAAAATAATGTCACGGGGTATGACTATATAGGTCTTGAAGAGGAGAAACAGGCGCATCTTTTGCGCAAGGTATCGAAGGACGCTATGTTAAAAAATCTGAAACTAGAGCTCAAAATTTGAAAAAAAATGGAATAAAACAGATCGGGTTGGCTATTGGTGTTATACCTCCATTGATTTTCATTTATTATTTTTTTTTTTTTGAATTTGCAGTTTTCCAAAACATTGTGGAGAATTTATCTTTGTTTCAAATTAAAAAATTAACATAACATTTCATTGCATATAAGAAAATAACTATCACTGTCAGTTAACCAATCAAATTTGCCCCTTATTTAACCTGTGTACAAGCTTTAGTAACCATGCAACCTCAAGTTTCCAAAATATTCTATAGAAACCCCAAATAAAACAATAATGATTCTTTGAAATACCCAAGATACATGTATATGTTGATGACCCAGAAATGTTTGACTGCAATAAAATGATGGATTAATTACCTACAGCTGTCAAATTTAAGGGAATTATTTTTTCGACCTATTTTTGTATGCAACCGGATGTGACATGCCATGATTTGGTGGTATTACACCTGAAGAAGACATTTTTATTTAATAAACTGAAAGGGATTTTTTCCTTTGTAATACTGTTTTTTTCAAGCATTCCTGTCATGTTTTGTCATAATCAGTTCAATAGTTTGAGAAAAAATCTAGTATAATGTACGACGACATCTTCAGCGATTCGTGCAGATTTTTTTCGAAAAATCCAAACCAAGCCGCATCATGATAGAATATAGTGTGGACCAATAATGATTAAATATTTATCTCATCTACCTACAAACAGTTGAATATGATACAAAAGATGACTTAAGGATGATAAATACCACTACTGGACCCCTTTGTCTTCTTTATAAGGTCTCTTTTGGTCCATTTATACATGTCATTTCCTAAAAATTTCAACTTTTCAGGCCAATAAATAAAAATAAAGAAGTAACTTTCACTCATTTATGATAGAAATGTTACAATAAATTACATTGAGTAATTGAAGTATTCAAGCAGAATGAACAATCCATATAAAAGTTTACTGGAGGTTTTAATAAGTCCTTACGTAAAACTTAAATTTACGCTGCGTTCCAGAGAGGGACATAACAAGCTTCTCTATTAGTGAATAATTTGTTGGTACTGCTTTAAAAAATAATCACATTTACTTATAACTATATATTTATTAAAATATTTCTGAGAGAAATCTTTCTATTATAGCAGAATATAAGAAAAAAGGATAAAAAGCTCCCCAAAACACCGTGAAGTATGGCTTGTTCTGTTAACTAATATTCATGGTAGAGTCCAATTTCAAGGAAATGTTCTCATAAAATATGTTTTGGAGACTCAATCCACTCAGAATATTTCATTGTTTGTAATATTTCAGTTGAATAGCAAGAAATTTTAACACACGAGTATACTCACAAGGTCAAAGATGCATGTACAGCACCCCATATTAGGTGTAATACCACCATTGATTTTCCCCTATCAGTCTTTTTAGAATTTACACTTTTCAAAAAATTGTGCAGAATTTATCTTTGTTTCAAATTAAAAAAATACTTGGCATGAGTAAAGTTTTATCCTGTCCAGTACTATAGAAAAGAATTCACATAAAATTGCATTGCATATAAGAAAATAACCATAACTGTCAGTTAACCAATCAAATTTTCCTCCTTATATAACCTGTATACAAGCTTTAGTTACCATGCAACCTCCTCAAAATATTCTATAGAAACCCAAAATTAAAAAAAAAATGATGCTTTGAAATACCCAAGATACATGTATATGTTTATCACCCAGAAATGTTTTACTGCAATAAAATGATGAATTACCTATAACTGTCAAATTCAAGGGAATATTTTTTTCGACCTATTTTCGTATGCAACCGGATGTGACGTACCATGCATTGATGGTATTACACCTATTCAATGGCTTCTAGAGAAAAAAAATAATGTGGAGTTTCACGGGGTATAGCTATATAGGTCTTGTAGAGGAGAAACAGGCCCATGGTTTGCGCAAGGTTTCGAGTTGCGCTTTGTCCAAAAACTGAAACTAGGGCTCGGAATTTCAAAAAAATTTAGGAAAAACAACAGGAATTTGCCTATTCCATAGCCTTTGGAAAAAATAATGAGGGATGTCGCGGGGTAAGACTATAAAGGTCTTGTAGAGGGAACACAGGCGCATAGTTTGCGCAAAGCTTCAAGAGGTGCTATGTGGAAAGGAACTAAAATTTAGTGAGGAACAAAGCCAACTCAAATGTCGGACAAGAACGTGAAAACCGTGAAAAAGACATATCAGAGTCAGGAAAGAAGAATTTCTTGTCATATGAAGTCGAAATGAAAATCCAAATTCCCCCATCCGAATTACATGATGAAAGAGATTGTAAAATGTGTTATGTAAGTACTGATAAAGAGAAGGCTGAACACTGGCTGAATTTTTTTCAAGGGAATTTCGAAAAAGAAAACGATGAAGATGAAAGAACTTTAGTGCGAAGGCCAGCTGGTATACAACCTAAAGTTCTATATACTATGACAGACTTAATAGACAGTCTACTTTGTATTATTTTCAAAAGTCTATTTATATCAGAGATTTTGTACCAGAATAAAACAAAATCGGCAAACAGTACTGAGTTGTTAAAAAGATATGATAGTAAAACTACATACAGACCAGTTAACTTTATCATTGACAATCCAAGCGCCACATTCCTAAAAGACGGTATAAGTACCCTCGTCCACGTGCGTGCATTGTCTGATATAAATAAATGTTTACTAGCTATATAGGCAAAAAAAGAAACATTTCCCTGGTTTTTAATTAAAAGAAATTACATATATTAATTTATAATATTTTCAAGATTAAAACTAGTGACCTGAATGATTTATCTATCATTTACTAATTTGTTAAAAATTCGAAGACGACGTTACGTCATTTTCTGATTTTAAACAAATAAGCATTTTTTCAAACATTTACCTGTATAGAGATGGAATTGAGTTGTCCTTTTGTTCATTAAATGTGTCGAGCACTATTGTTAACAAAAGGTCGCATTAAAAAATTGAAAAAGTTACACGTAAGTCAATGCCACGTCTACGTCATAATGAGAGAGAACGAGCTATTGTGTTGTTGGCAGCAAAAATGACTCTAATACAGGTTGCAAATCATCCCAATGTCTCTAGAATGAATATTGAAAAGCTTAAGACTCGTCTTAGAGATACTGGCACGACAAATAATCG